GCAATTTAGCATGGCCAATCCGCCTAACCTGCACATCTTTGGACTGTGGGAGGAAACCGGAGCACCCGGAGGAAACCCACACAGACACAGGGAGAATGTGCAAACTCCACACAGACAGTCGCCCGAGGCTGGAATCGAACCCAGGTCCCTGGCGCTGTGAGGCAGCAGTGCTAACTACTGTGCCACCGTGTCGCCGTGTAACTGTACCTGCAGCCACCACTTTCTCTGGCAGTTCATTCAACACACTAACTACTCTCTGTATAAAAAAGTTGCCCCTCATGTCCTTTCTAAATCTTTCTCCTCTCACCTTAAAAATATGCCCCTTAGTTTTGAACTCCCCCACCCTAGAGAAAAAACCCTTTGCCATTCATCTTATCTATACCCCTCATGATTTCATAAACATGTATAAGGTCATCCCTCAACCTCCAATGCTCCAATGAAAAAAGTCCCAGTCTTTCCAGCCCATTTTTTATATCTCAAACTCTCCATTCCTGGCAACATCCTGGCAAATCTTCTCTTAAACCTTCTCCAGTTTAATAATATCCTTCCTATAATAGAACGACCAGAACTGCGCACAGTACTCCAGAAAGGGGCTTCAACAAACTCCGCATGACATCCCAACTCCTATACTGAAAAGTTTGATTGAATGAGGTAAAATAAAAGCCTGCCTTTCATACCCACACAATGTTTGAAATCACCTTTACAGCCAGGGGTCCATTGTAACACAGGAAACACACCAGCCAACTTAGACATAGCAAACTTCCATAAGTGTGATCTGATGGTTGTTTGAGGGACGAGTGCTCCCAGGACAGCAAGGTTCACTCCCTTACTCTTCTCCAAATCACTGGCATGAGATCTTTACCACCCTCCTGAGAGGGTATATGGGATCTCAGTTCAACATTTCATCTGAAGGACTGGCAGATTTAACACTCCCTCAGTAGTGACCAGGGATTGCTAGCTTGTTCTGTTCTCACGTACTACAATGGGACTTGAACACAGAATCTTTTAACTCAGTGTTACTGAGCCATGGCTGACAGTGAAAATGAACTTCACATTTTTTATTGAACAAAATCCAAATCCCTTTGAATTACTAGCTGTTTTATTTCTCGCAACGGAAATGGACAAAGCAGAAACAATGACAATGTATAGACAGCGTGCAAGCAGTCAATACCTTCCACATTTGAATGTCATCACAAATGCATGTGGGGCTTGGATTTTGGCTCCATACTTTTCCTCCCTTATGATTATTGCCCAAAAGAGTCAACCGTATTGCTGTGGGTCTGGAGTCACATGAGGGCCAGACCAGATAAGGACAGCAGATTTTCTTTCTTAAAAGGACATTTGTGAACCAGATGGGTTTTTCCTGACAATTGAAAACGAACTCATGGTCATCATGGTCATCATTTCAGGTCTTTTTTTTTATTGAATTCAAATTCCACCATCTGCTGTGGTAGGATTTGAACCCAGGTCTCCAGACGTTACCTGGGTCTCTGGACTAACTGGACTAACTAATATCACGAGGCCATCGCCTCCCCGTTGTGGTCCCTCATAAGGCCAAAATTGGAAGAACATAAAATTCACAGAGCAATGTGGAAACTCAAGGAGATTGCAGGGATAAGGGGAGAGTGCTGATATCATTGGACGAGGAATCAAGAAGCTCAGGCTTCCGCTGTCAGTAAGAGGGATTCCAATCCTGCCAGGAATGCAGGTGGAATTTATTCACTTACTAAATCTGGAATCGAAGTGATGGGACTGTTAAACTATTTTCAATTGTTGTAAAAACGGTCTGGCTCACGAATGTTGTTCAGGGAAGGAAACCTGCCATCCCGTACCTCCATGTAACTCCAGACCCACAGCAACTTGGTTAACTCTTAACTGTCCTCTAATCTGATCCACTGATCCACTGAATTCAAGGGTCATTCAAAAAAAGGGCTACAAATACTGGCCTTGTCAGTGATGCCGACATCCAATGAAATAAAGGAGGTGGAGGGATTTGGAAACAAGGATGAGAAGTTTGAAGTTGAGGCTTGCTTGATTGGGAGTCAGTGTAGGTCGGGGAACACAGGGGTGATGTCTTCAAAAACGGACACGGGCAGAAGAGTTTGAATGATCTCCAGTTCTGGGTTATTCGGTGCAACTTACACTCAGAATCCCTACAGTGTGGAAACAGGCCCTGCGGCCCAACAACTCCACACCGCCCCTCAAAGCATCCCACCCAGACCCATCCCCCTAAACACTGTGGACAATTTAGCTTGGCCAATGCACCGAGCCTGCACATCTTTGGACTGTGGGAGGAAACCGGAGCACCCAGAGGAAACCCACGCAGACACGGGGAGAATGTGCAGACTCCACACAGACAGTTGCCTGAGGGTGGAATCAAACCTGAGTCCCTGGTGCTGTGAGGCAGCAGTGCTAACCACTCTGCCACCCAGTGATGGTTCCTGAGATGGACATTGTTCTTCTCTACCTTATTTTGTTCAATGCGTTTTGAAGCAAAACTGATACATTGGGGGATAGGCAACGCCAGCAGCCAAAACAAAAAGATTGTCACAAAAAAATTGTGTGGCCATTTCAAGGGGAAAATCTCTTTCCCCATGGTGGGAATCATTCCTGACCACAGGGAACAAGAGTATTAGACAGAGTAAATGCAGGAAGGATTGGTTGTGGGGTCTAGAACCAGAGGATGATATGTCTGAAAAAAGACAAGCCTTTTAGGATTGAGATGAGGAGAAATTCCTTCACTCAGAGATGGTGGTGAATCTTTGGCATTCCCGACCCCAGGAAGCTCAGTCACTATGTGACAAGAGTTTTGGTAGACATTTGGTAGAATGTCACTAATGACATTGAAGGATATATGACATTGAGGTAGATGATCTAGAATGGCAGAGCAGGTTTGAGGGGCTGAATGGCCTACTCCTATATTTCTTCCTGATGCATACGAAGGGATTACAATACTTAAGTGGTTACGGGGCAGAGAAACCTGGGTGTGTATGCGCATAGACCATTGAAGGTGGTAATAGAGTGCAGTCAGTAAATCACACACTATCCTGACATTTATGACTAGGTGCAGAGAGTACAGGAGCCAGGGGGTCTTGCTGAACTTATACAAGACACTTGTTAGACTTCATCTGCAGTATTATACACAGTTTTGGGATATCTCACTCTAGGAAAGATGTGAATGCAGTAGGGAACGTGCAGAAGAGATTGACAAAAATGGTTCCAGAGATGAGAAACTTCGGTTACGAGGATAAATTGGCAAGGTTGGAACTGTTCTTATGGGAGAGGAAGAGGCCACGAGGTGATGACAGGAGTTTTCAGAATCATGAAAGGTCTGGATAGAGTAGACCCGGGAGAAACTGTTCCCGCTCATCCAGGATTGAGAGCAAGAGGGAACAGATTTAAAGCAATTTGCAAAGGTACCAAATGTGATGTGAGGAGAAAACATTCTCACACAGTGAGTAGTTAGGATCTGGAATGCAGTGCCTGGTGTTGTGGAGTTGCGTTCGATTGAAGCATTCAGGATGATTATTTGAATTAAAACAATACACAAGGGACGGGGAAAAAGGCAAGAGAATGGTGTGATGCTCAGTGGAGAGCCAGGGCAGACGTGATGGACTGAAGTGCCTCTTTCTGCACCATTCTGTGATTTAATGGGACATTAGATAAACAATTAAGGGGAGACAGGAATAGAATTTTACGACAAGATGAGGAGGCAGGGTGAAGCATTGACGCTGGCACGGACTAGATGGGTCGAATGGCCTATTTCTGCACATTCTCTCAAAACAAACTTCAGTCTGAAGCAAAGTCTACATGTTCCAGTCTTCTGGACCTAAATCTTTTCTGTCCCATACTTAATTTCCACTGGGTACAGTTTTGAAAGTTGCTGGGATGTATACAAGGTCTGCCTTAAAGTATTGAGTGTTGGGGCTCAGCACAGCTGGTAAATATATTGTTCTTTTTGTCTGTGTTGGATTCAGCCCAGGCTGATGGATTGAAACTCTGTTGCTGTTGCAGCAGGCAATTTCCTTCCACCGATTTGAGCCAGATTTGAATCCTATTGCATGTCACTGCTAGCTGATGGCATAAAACTGCCCATTATGTCTCATCAAATTGACTATTTTGTTTAAAATGATCTTAACAATGGCTGCTGTGGAAATCTAAATGTCACATTCGTTTCCTGAGGTTGACTTTGATGCATCTTTGGTACAACGCAATGGAATCTTAGCCATGCAATGATCCAGAGGCATTTAGCTAAAGTGAGAACATTTAGGCTCAGAGCTGGCTGACAAAAAAACAGCTTTAGCCTATCTATTTTCTGCCATTATATTCTCTCTCTCTCCTTTTAACGAAGAAAAATTAAAAACCTCTTCGTACAAACAGAGGTCATTATGCAAAGAAGCTGTTCATTGACTGAAGCTTCCTCGTTTGAAATAATCTTAGCAGTTTGGGTAATTGAAATATAAAAGAATTAGCAACACTAATTTTGTAGCACCCTGCCAATGGTGACATCTGTAGTCATTCCTGTTGCCTTGCACCTCCCCCCACCCACCTTCCCAATGCCCAACCAGCTACCCCCTCTCTTCCCCCGCCACCCCGACCTTCCCTTCTTACGAAAGGCAAACATTTTTCACAGTCAAAAGCTGAAAGACAAGAGCAGTGACAAATCTGTTCAGGGCAGTCTTATTGCATGCTTGCCCAGGGCTGTGTGTGACAGCTGTACGCAGGAGTTAGATGGTGGGGCAAGGTGAAGGTGTTTCAGTGACAAGTTTGGAAGCAACAGCAGCTCCCAGGGAGAGAGAGAGAGTGTGAACAGCGCGTGTTAAAAGAAAAGGGACGAGCTGTATACACTTGAGACGAGTGAGAATGGAAAGGTCCACCCAGGCTCCTCTATCTGAGCCGAGTGCATTCTGGTGAGCCACCTGTGTCAGAGTCTGTACTGCAACGTTAACCCTCGCAACTTCCTACGTGAAAATTTTTGGGGAAACCTTGCTTTCTCCCACCTGCTCTGGACGACTTTCGCGTCTCGGTGCTGGTCAAACTTCTCCCCTTGACATAGAGCCCCACCAGCTCGGCATTCTGCCAACAAAAACTTGCATTTGCCTGGAGCCTTTAAGGTCGTGCAGCCGTCCCAGGGTACTTCACAGGACAACTATTGGGCAAAATTTGATACCCAGCTCACAGGTGGAAAGGCCTAGTGGTATTATCGCTGGACTGTTAATCCAAATAGCGTTCTGGGGACCTGGGTTCAAATCCTGCTATGGCAGATGGTGGAATTTGAATTCAATAAAATATCTGGAATTAAGAACCTAATGATGATCCTGAATCCATTGCCAATTGTTGGGAAAAACCAATTTGGTTCACCAGTGTCCTTTAGGGAAGGAAACTGCCATTCTGGCCTACATGTGACTGCAGACCCATTGCCCATGGCAACATGGTTGACTCTTAACTGCCCTCTGGGCAATAAGTGCTGCCTAGCCAGCAATACCTTCATCCCCATGAATGAATATTAAAAGAAATATTTTAGGGCATGTGCCTACAAAGATGCTCAAAGAGATTTTAAAGAACGTCGTGAAGAAATGGAGAGACGTGGAGGGGTTTGGGGAGAGGTTAAGATCCTTAGGATCTGGGAAGCTGATGGTTGTAATGCAGTGTTTAAAACTCAGGGTGGCTGAGAGGACAGATTGAGGAGTGCAGAAATCTTGGGAGGATTCTAGTGCTGGAGGAGGGTGTTCGGATAGGGATGAGTGAGGTCATGTGTGAAGTTTTCTGCAAACTTACCTTGCTATATGATACCCATACTAGTATGCCCTTTCAATATCACACTGCTGCTGTTTCTTTTTGAAGTAGTAAAGATTTTTGTGTGTGACTTGCCCTGCCATAGAATGGATTGGAGACAGTCCGACCATAACACTACTTAGCTAAATTATTACCTGCCATCGTAGCTATAAATGAGCTGTGAATATTAACCGGAGTTAATAGCAATCTTGGCGTGGTTCTCCAGAAGACTTTAGCTGCTGCGATAATTTATTTTAGTCAAGCCCTTCCCATCAATGTTTCCTTTGGTTGTGTCAGCACCTCCCCATTCAATTCTGCCATGTCAACATGTAACTGCAGGCTGTGAGCAGTAGGGGTCTCTGTACCATCAAATTCCAAATTCTCATCAATTTTCTCAACTCTGCCGCTTTCCTGTATATTTTAAAAATTATTATATTCATCAGCTAGTGGGAAACTGGAGGATGGGAAGCCTTTTAAAAAACCAGCAGTGGACAACTGAAAAAGCAATAAAGGGGGAGAAGATGAAATATGAGTATAAGCTAGCTAGTAATGTAAAAGAAGATTGCAGGAGTTTTTTTTTAAAAGATATGTGAAAGGTAAGAGAAAGGCAAGAGTGGACATTGGACCACTGGAAAATGAGAATGGAGAAATGGTAATGGGAAACAAAGGAATGGTGAAGGAACTGAAGAGGTACTTTGCATCAGTCTTCACTGTGGAAGACACCAGCAGCATACCAGCATTTCGAGAAGCAGTGGAGCAGAGTGGGTTGAGTGGCCATCAATTGGGAGAAGGTGCCAGGGAATCTGAAATGCCTATGAAACAGGTTAGGGTCAACACCATTGTAACAGAGTCAAAATAGGCATGTGGATACATGAGTAATCATTATATTGATTTCCTTCTAGTCAGAGAGAGGGAGAGAGAGAGATCTCACCTCATCAGAACTGATGACAAAAACATTCTCATACAAATTTCCTGTAGGCATGTGTCATTCATTTGTTTGATACAATAAAAAAGAATCCCAATGGCTTTATAAATAGAGCACAAAAGCTAGAGTTATGCAAAAGAGTTCATAAATCATTGGTTACATTTCAGTTAGTACATTGTGTCTAATTCTGGGAACCACATTATAGGAAGCATGGCAAGGTGTGTAGAGGTTTACCAGAATTGCCCCAGTGATGAGGCAGTTCAGTTAAGTAGGGGGTCTCGAGTGACTGGGACTGTTCTCCACCCGAGAGAAGGTTAAGAGGAGATTTACTAAAGCTGTTCAAAATGTTTGAGGTGTTTTGATAAGCTGCATAAGGAGTAGAATGGGGGCTGATAATCAAAGGATTTATAACTGGCAAAAGAGCCGAGGGAAAATTAACACTTTTTCTGCAGTGACTGCGATCTGGAATGCTTGGCCAGAATGAGAGGTGGAAGCGGATTCTAATTGTAACCATCAGAAGTGAAGAACACATAGACTTTCAACAAAGGTCATTGCAGGGCTATGAGGGAAGAGCAGGGGGAGAGGGTCGAAAATCATTTAAACAGCAGGCAGAGACAACTTGGTCCAAATAGCCTCCTTCAGCGTTTGTACGATGGTTGGGAGCTGATATGTGCCATTTTATTTCCTATCTCCACTGAATGTGTGGATGTGTCAGAATTAGCTCCAGTGACTGATTTCAGGAGGGAGAGCATCCACAAAGGATGTACTTTTCTGGTTCATGCTGTGAAGAGGCTGTTGACATGAAGATGAGAATTGCTATGTGTGTTCGCACATGTAGGATTACTGCTTGAGCAAGGTACTGAATGTCATTGTGGAGACCGTACCACAGCAAAGAGGCAACAGGGATGGCAGGATGGTGGGTACATCAGGGAGGGAAAGGAAGAATATTGGTTCAGGGTGTGGGCGTTTAAAATGTATACAGGAAAAAGGAACCTTGTGTAATTAGTATGTACCCAAATATCTTCCCCACCTGCCTGGATGCTAGATATTTTGACCCAGAAAGCAGGAATAAGTGCTGAATGTCAATCCTTACATCAGAGAATTTGATTGAAAAGCTTTAACCACCTTCTGCAACTATAATTGCACCCCCAAACCCTCGGCCTACTTGGCAGTATAGAGACATGAGGAATGGTTGTTCGATAGTACAGTTTTGGGGGGGGTTCTAACCCCTGACACACTACTGCATGGTAAGCTAAGCCACCTTACTGCCCGCCAAATAGGCATAGAACTCACAGCACCCTTTGTATAAAACTATCTGTTGGCACCCCCCAACTAGTGGTAGTGTGGGCATTAAACTTGGAAGGGTTACCCAAAAATAGAAACAACTACAGCGAGTGAGTGTGAGTGTGAGTGTGAGTGTGAGTGTGAGTGTGAGTGTGAG